TCTTTCACTATACCTACGTGTTGATTCAACTGTTTATCAGCCACATTTTGGACTGCTCTTCAGCCTGCCACACTGCTATCTTCTCTGAGGTATCTCTTTGCTAAAAATACCCTTTGTGTCAGACCCCAATGTCTTCCTGCTTCATTGTTTACCTCATTTTGATGAAGGAAATTGTCCAATAGTTTTCTAAAACAGAATGCATACATTTTAGGATCTTGCATGCCCAGAAGTCTTTACCATTCCATATGACTGACAGTTTCTCAGGGTCTGGAATGCACTACACATTATTTTACATCCAAATTTCTGACACATTGCTTTATTGCTTTCCAGCCTTCAGCTCTGCTGTTGGGAAGTCTGATGACATTCTGACCCCAGCTCCATTCCCCCTTCCCCACATCCTCATTCTTAAAAAGCTCACAAATTCTTATCCTTATCCCTGATGTTCTGAGATGTCACAGTGTGTCCTTAAGAGGGGCCCCATTTACTTATTTTGCTGTGCACTTGGGGGACCCTTCCAATCTAGCAATTCAAATTTTCCTTCCTCTCTGGGAAAAAAATTAAGTCAGGAGTTAGCTCCCTCAGACTGACTCTGTTCTCTTTTTCTGTATCCTCTATTAGTCAGACACTAGAACTCGTGGACTGATCTACCAGATACTAAGCGCCTTCATCACGGCACACACTGAAAACAGTATTTGTAGGGTGCTGTGAGATGGGCAAGGCTGCTTGCTACAGAGGTGGAAAGCTCTGCTCTTTCTTCTCTTCTTCTCTTGCATTTTCCATCACAGTGCCATTTTTGTTCCATTTCCAGAAGGATGTCCATGACTTTATCTTCCAAGTTTTCTACTGATTTTTTTCTAATTTGAGCCATTATATTTTTAACCTCCAAGGATTTCTTCTTATTCTCTGCTGTTCCTTCTTTACAGCCCTCCATTCCAATTCCTTGGAGAACAACATTACAGTTTTATTGAGATGTCTTCTGCTCCCTACACTCACCATCTCTCTCTGAGGCTTTTGTTGTTGCTGTTATTGTGGTTGGTGTTTGCTTTATCTAAGTCTATTTCATACACAGGCTTCCCACAAATGGGGGACAATCCTTGGGGAGCAGTCACAGTTAAGAGGAAAACACAAAACAATGTTGCAAATTCTGTTTACATGGAGAGGAAGTCAGCTGGAGGCTTTCATGCAGTGTGATCACCTGATCGCTGCATTTTTTTGTTGTTGTACAGCAAATGGGAGAAACCTTCTGATCTGGCTGCTGGTGGTGTTCTGGAAGCAAGCAGGGTAGGGCTGGGGAATTTCTATCAGATCAGTAATCTCCTCAATTCAACCCAGTGCTTGGGGTCCCTGAGTTTGAGCATCAGATCCCAAATGGCTGAAACCCGATCTTCTGGCAGGTGGCTGCCTAGTTGCCAGGTTCAGGGATACCAGGGGGTCTAATGGATCTGGCAACACGCTTTCTAACAGGGCCCCATTTTGCAGCCCTGCACTTCATTTCTGCCTTTGCAGGTACTGGAGCCTCCAACCTTGACCACTGTCATGGAACTCCTCCTCCATCACTTTCCTCCCAAATTCTGACATCACGTGGCCACTGTTTGTCCCCTCTCCTTTTCTTTGTCCTTTGTTTTTAATGCTTTCAAGGGCTCCTTGATGTCATTTTTAGTAGAGTTTTATGAGAGAAAGGAACTGAACACATATGATCACAAATTTACCAACTACTTTTGTGAGCACAGTTAAACAATAATGTTTAAAAGCCATTTCTTTGGCTATTACCCAATTCCTCTTTTACTTGTGAAATAAATGCCCAAGCATTGAATGCTATTTATTAAAATCCATCTTGTCCTAAAATGTGAATTTGTTTTTTTTTTAATTTTTTTTAACGTTTTATTTATTTTTGAGACAGAGAGAGACAGAGCATGAACAAGGGAGGGTCAGAGAGAGGGAGACACAGAATCTGAAACAGGCTCCAGGCTCTGAGCTGTCAGCACAGAGCCCGACGCGGGGCTCGAACTCACGGACCGTGAGATCATGACCTGACCTGAGCTGAAGTGGGCCGCTTAACCGACTGAGCCACCCAGGCGCCCCATAAAACGTGAATTTGAAAATAGCCCACTAATTACAGGCCACTAGTACATAATCATAGAACAACTTTCATTATCACTTTGTAATAACATACAAATTCTTAATAATCATAAAAGATCAAAGTGATCTTAGTTCTAGAAGAGAAACAAAAATAAACTCAAATTTAAATAGTTTACCACTCACTACAATATTTCAAATATCAAAGAAAATTATAAACAATCTAGTGAGATTTTTATGGTGTGGGATTTCTTTTTTTTTTTTTTTTAAGGAAGTGCAAGATTTCTCTTATCCATTCAATGAACACGCCAGTAATAAGGATGCATATCTCACAGATCACATTGGAAACTCAACACCTATCACTGGCTTTCCAAGTCCCTACTATTTTGGTTTCAGTAAGACAGCCAAAAGTGTCCTTCATACACAACACACAGATGTACACATACACGTGCAAAATGCATTATATATTCCAAAGTTATTTATGGTTTTAATAACAGTGTACCTTTTAAAAATAAAAACAATACTTAATCACAAACATAAAAATTGGGTAGTAAGGTTTTCTATTTCACATGAGTGTGTGTATAAAACAAGACTAACAAATCAAATCTATCCTAGCACTATTATTTTCCCCATAGCACTATCAGTATCTTTGAGCAATTATTGTTCACAATTGATTTGATTCAACTGATTGTTAACTTTTTAAGGTGTCACTATTTGTGCTTCTTGGATTAAAGATGCCTTAATTTCCTACAAAATCCAACCATTTAAAGATTGGCTTAATGGAGACGTGGGCTTCTGCTTCATCCCTACCTTTGTTTTCTGGTGTACTTGTGTGTATACTGTGTGTAAGCATATGTGTATTTTACTTCTCTGAACAACAGTTCTCTAGTATGTAAACAGGGGATGGTTCTTTCTATTTTTTTAGTTTTTTTTCATGTTTATTTATTTTTGAGAGAGACAGAGCACAAGTGGGGGGGGGGGGCGGGGCAGAGAGAGACAAACACAATCCAAAGCAGGCTCCAGGCTCTGAGCTGTCAGCACAGATTCCCATTCAGAGCTCAAACTCACCAACCATGAGATGGTGACCTGAGCCGAAGTCAGAAGCTTAACCACCTGAGCCACCCAGGTGTCCCTGGATGATTCCTTCTATTTGCAGGTTTACTGTGAGGATTAAATAAAGTAATGTCTGGCACACAGTGGGTATTCAACAAATGGGTAGGATTATACACTATTTCCTTTCTTCTGTCTAGGCCTGATCTCAGGTCAGCAAGCTTGGAAACGTAAGGTGGGTGGTTCCTCCCCCACCCCCTCCCCAGATCTTACAACACACACTTGGTGTGATAGAGGGTGCTCTTAGTATGAACAGAAAATAATGATGACTCCATTCATTCTAATTTCACTCTACTCTTACAGGTGGAGCTAACTATAAGATGCTAAAATGTAATAAAATGCCTTGAATTGGAATTGGCCTTGTATAATTTTAAATATTTAGTTTATGTGGCCAAGTATGACTAAAATTGCACCCTTTCTCTGTGATGGTATAAACCGAAGGATACAATCACTCAAAAGTAATCATGCAATACTGGAACACACCCTGTAATACTGATAACAGTTTCATTCATGTCAACCAGAGTGCACATTTCTTAGCCCCAGAAATACAATGCAGCAATACAATGCTGAATCCAAGGTTATTTTTCTCATTTCATCCCATCTCACTACACCAGTCCTAAACCACACCCAGGAGGAAGCAGGTAGCCTCGGGTCATATTCCTGTCCCCAGGTACAGTTGTACAGGCCCAGGCAGCAAAAGTACCAACACTGACCCAGTTCCACCCTGGCATCTAGGTATTCCTGGCAGCATATGAATATTAATTTTCCATACTTCTCTTTTCTAAACTTGAGCTTTATGTGGGGAAGAGGGGGAAGAAAGTAATTCATGTGCCAATTTCATCTAGCACACAAACCCCAAGTATGATTAAAAATTTCCTCATTGTCCTCTTAGCCCTGAAGACACCACATCTTGTAATATTTTGTCTGCAGTAAGTTTAATAAAAAACAAAACAAAACAAAACAGAGGTAACAATATCTGGCTTAACTGACTGAGCCACCCAGGCGCCCCAGAGGTAACAATATCTGGAATGATGCTCACGATTATGTTCGCAGGCCTGAGTAACCTGGAAGGTGCTGCGGAATTTGCGAAGCACCTGACCACAGGCCAGCAGGCCACACCGGGTGGGCAGGAAGATCACCAAGGAGCAGTTTCAGTGAATAGGCGCTGGGGAGCCCAAATTCGGCCGCCTTTGGCACCGACCCCTGGCCTTCTCTCAGGCCTCCAAGCCCCCCACCCTGGGTTCCCAACGCCCGGCGCCTCGCGGACAGAACAGGCGAGGTCACCTGTGGCCGGAGGCCTCGTGGGGTCACCTGTGGCTGCGGGGCCCCGCGCAGCAGCTCTGGACGCTCAGCGCAGCCCCCATGCCGGCTCCCGCTGCCTCCACTGCGGACCCGGGGCTGCGCGTCCGGGTCTGGGCGGCCAGACACTACTCACCAGATGGTGTCACTGTCCGCCAGACCACTGGACTTCTCAAGGGAACCCGAGCCCAAACGCTCATACCCCACCCCCTCCCCGTCAAGATTTCGAGGGTCACGGCCCCGCGTGACCACGCCCCTACCCACGCGCGCCCCGACCCCGGGAGGCCACGCCCTACCCACGCGCGTCCCCGACCCCCGCGAGGCCACGCCCCCCCTACGTGCCCCCGGGCCCCGCATGGCCACGCCCCCGTCCCCCGCAAACCCTGATCCCTGAGCTACCAAGCTCAGCCCCTCCACGCGCCCCTCGCGGCCCCACCCTGCCTCCGGCGCTTTCCTGGCCTTGGAGTGGAGGACAGGTCCCCGCGGGCCGGGGCAGGTCCCACACCACACGATACCTCGGAGGGTTGGCGCGGCGGTCTGGAGAGAAGGGAGAAGCTCCGGGCCTCAAATACCGGCGGAGCCGGAGGGCGGGCGGAGTCAGGGGAAGCGAGCCATCGCACCGCCCATCTCCAGATCCCGGGGCGGCTGTCCGTCAGCAGCCTGGGGCTCTCAGGAGGGCGGTGAAGGGAGGTGACCAGGTGTGCGCCAAGTACTCCACTGCACTTTGACCGCCACCCTGGGGCCGGCCTATGGGCCGCGCGTACTTTTCTAGTCTAGTTGCGTTGACCTCGCCCACTGGGCCACCAGGTAGGTGAATCAAACGAAAACCTCTGGAGTTTTCAGTCAGCGACAGTACGCGGACACACCAGCGCTTTACTGTGACTTGGTAAAGAGACTGTGACTTAATGTTGTCAGTGACCAGAAAAGTGCCAGTTCTTGGTACGTAGGCATAAGTTGCACAGTGCGGGACAGAAATTTTAAATAAAGCCTACGCGATCATCTTGTGTGTTCATAATGCAGTAGTCTTCTGGCCCATGTGAATTAAACTCCAGGGTACTAACAAATTATACAAATGTGTACAAAGTCCATGTTTGCCACCTTGGAGCAGTCATGGAGAACGGAAAGGTGAGAGGAGAAGGGGAAAACACTAGCCACGTTTTAACAATGAGTTTAATTTTGGAAACCTCAAATTGTTTTTGCGTTTCCTCCATCCTTACCCTAGGCCAGGGTTTCTCAACATGGACACTGTTAACACCTGAGCTGGATAATTCTTTGTTGTGCTGTGGCACTACAGAATGTTTAACAGCATCCCTGGCCCCTCTACCCACTGCATGCCTGTAGCATCCCTCTCCCAGTTGTGACGGTTTAAATTTTATTTTTGGAGTAGTGAAACATAAAGTAATGCCCAGAGATATCAACCCAGTTTTGTTTAGCTTCAGGCTTGTCTTTCCAGCTGACCTTTTTGCAAACATGTATGTGTGTATGCGTGTGCACACTTATCAAAAGAGTGTCATTCTATTACCTATCCCTTTGTTATCTGTCGATAGTTCTGCAACTTGCTTTTTTCACTTGACAATAAATTTTGGAAATCTCTGTATTTGCTACACAGCATCCTTATTCCTTTTCATGGCTGATCGTATTTCGTGTGTCACTGGTGGCCATTTGGGTTGTTTCCATTTGGGTCATTACCAATAATGCCACGAATAACCTAGTGCAGTGCTTCTCAAGCTTGAATGCACATGTAAATGATCTGGGGTATTGTTCAAATGCAGATTCTGATTCAGTAGGTCCTGAGACTCAGCATTTCTAACAAGCACCCAGGTAGCTGAGGCTGCTGTTCCGTAGACCATGCTTTCACTAGCAAGATATTAGTGTAAATACTCTTTTGTATTGATGGAGAAATATCCACCAATCCAGATTCCTAGATTCCTAGAAATGGGATTGTTGGGTCTAAGGACAAATACACATATATTTTTGTTAGCTATTGTCAAATTTCTCTCTATAGGGCTTGTATCATTTTGTCCTCTCCCCAGCTATATCTGAGTGCTTCTTCACAGCCTTACTAACAGTAATACATGGACATCTTTGGATTTTTACCAATCTGATAGGGGAGAGATGTTTTATCTCCTATAGTTTTAATTACCATATCCTGTATTATGAGTGAGGTTGAACATCTTTTCATATGTTTAAAAGCATTGCCTCTTTGTTGTTTTGTCCCCCCCCCCACCCCGCCATGAACCGTTCATGACTTTTGTTCATTTTTTAAAATTGTTTGGTCTTTTTCTTCTTAGTTCTTACATGCTCTTTATATAGTAGCATTAGTCCTTTGTAGTATAAGTTGCAAATATTTTCTCCCAGCTTCTCATCTGTTCTCTGACATTGCTTTGGTGATTTTGGCATATTTTTTGTTTTTAATGTAGTCAAATTTAATGATTTTTCCTTTATTGCATCTAGATTTTTGACTCATAGTTAGAAACTCGTTCTCCAGATTATACAGTTCACCAATGTTTTCTTCCAGTATTTGTATAGTTTCAATTCAGTCCCAGCTGATGGCTGGAGGAAGAGAGGGCAGTAGAGTGGAAGGCAAGAATATCCCAGACCATTTGCCAAAGGCTAGTTGCTCAGTAGTATTCAGTGATTCATTGGTGTCTAATGTTTAGAAAACTCAGTTCAGATACGGCAATGATGTCAACAAATAGATCTGGCTCCAGAGAATGTCTTTTTCATTCCAATCCCGGTTTAATTGCTCTCTGTTGTTAACCCTGCCTGAAACCATATAGCTCTGACTCTCAGCAACGGCATGGCCTTTCATCTCCCAGGACTTTCCTGGATGGGGGCCTGGGACTTTGGTACTCCAGGTAAAATAAAAGTAAACAGAACCTTTTAGGTGTTTATAAAGCAGTCTGAATTTACAATCAGTAAATTGGAAATAAAGATTGACCAAGAATCTTGATTATGATACTAACACAGCTCATTTTACTTAGGAATCTGGGACTGTCACAGGTAAATATTTTGTTTGGTTGTGTTTTATTTTTGAAAATAATTCCCCTTTTAAGTGTTGGAAATAATAGATTGACAAAAACCCATTCAAAAAGCATTCGGCAACCTGTATTCAGCTCACTGAACACAAGTTGGTTTTGACATTAGCGTACAGCACAGTAACTCACCCGTGACCAGAACAGTGACTAAAACATCACCCTGAATAAATTCATTCTATTCTGCTGACGTTTCAACCCTAACACAAAAAGAGAAGAAAGGATGCTCCCCTTTTAACTGGGAACATTTCACCGTGACATTTATGTTATGTAATTCTATTGTTCTTTATGTATATTCTCAGTGTTGTGTGGGCTAACTGGAACTAATTTCCATAAAACTGGAAGAGCATTTCTACCTTGATCTAAGCAGTAGAGATGGATTTGTATTGATTTAACTATACCTTTTAAAAATCAGATCACAGAAAATGAGCCAGATGTCTAAATAGACACCTGAAGCCTTAAGTGATTAAAAGAAAAAAAAAAAAAAAAAAAAAAAAAAAAAAGAACCCTAATGGATGGAACTATCCCGGATGAGGTCAATTGCTTAGCAAACTCAATTTAATTAAACGGATATTTACCACACATCTGCAATGCAAAATTCTGAGACTAGCCCAGAACTAGAACCTCTGCCCTTCCATTAAAGGCCATAAAATAAGTTCTCAGGCAACTATCTAACATCTATTTGGTTTTCGTTACAGATAGTAAGCATTGCAATGTTTCCTATGAACAACATAAAAGTTATTCAAATGACATGGCAATCCTGTTAGCAATATTACAGTACTTCATGGTTCTTCATATCTGATGTTCTTTCAAAGAAATTGTAGCCACCTCTCCCAGAGATTCACTGGACAAACAGGTTGGGTTCATGAGTCACTTCTGAAAGACAGACCAGGTAGGTAAGACATTGAAATTGGGGTGCCTGGGTGGCTCTGTCGGTTAAACATCTGACTCTTGATTTCAGCTCAGGTCATGATCTCACGATACATGAGATCGAGCCCCGAGAGTGCAAGCCTGCTTGGGATTCTCTGTCCCTCGCTTTCTGCCCCTCCCCCCCCCCAAATAAATAGACTTAAAATAAGACACTGAAATCAAAACTACAACGAGACAACCTCACACCTGTCAAAATGGCTAAAATCAACAACACAGGAAACAACAGGTGTCGATGAGGATGTGGAGAAAAAGGAACTCTCGTACACTGTTGGTGGGTATGAAAATTGGTGCAGCCACTCTAGAAAACAGTATGTTTGAGCAGGTTCCTCAAAAAGTTAGGAATAGAACTACCCTATGATCTGGTAATTACACTGCTGGGTACTTTTCCAAAGAATACAAAAACACTAATTCAAAGGGATATATGCACCCCTATGTTTACAGCAGCATTATTTATAATAGCCAAGACATGGAAGCAGCCCAAGTGTCCATTGATTGATGAATGGACGAAGAAGATGTGGTATATATATACAGTGGAATATTATTTGACCATAAAAAAAGAATGAAATCTTGCCATTTGCAATGACATGGATGAAGCTACAGTATAATACTAAGCAAAATAAGTCAGAGAAAGACAAATACCATATGATTTCACTCATTTGTGGAATTTAAGAAACAAAACAAAGGAAAA